TGTCCTAGGGGTTTTGTCCAAGGGGTTTTGTCCTAGGGGTTTTGTCCTAGGGGTTTTGTCCAAGGGGTTTTGTCCTAGGGGTTTTGTCCAAGGGGTTTTGTCCTAGGGGTTTTGTCCTAGGGGTTTTGTCCAAGGGGTTTTGTCCTAGGGGTTTTGTCCAAGGGGTTTTGTCCTAGGGGTTTTGTCCTAGGAGTTTTGTCCAAGGGGTTTTGTCCAAGGGGTTTTGTCCTAGGGGTTTTGTCCAAGGGGTTTTGTCCTAGGGGTTTTGTCCTAGGGGTTTTGTCCAAGGGGTTTTGTCCTAGGGGTTTTGTCCTAGGGGTTTTGTCCTAGGGGTTTTGTCCAAGGGGTTTTGTCCTAGGGGTTTTGTCCTAGGGGTTTTGTCCAAGGGGTTTTGTCCTAGGGGGTATTTTTCCGTCTTGGTGTGTCCAAACGTCACTGTGAGCGGTTACGGTGCGTCGCCAGTCCGGCCCTTGGGGCACGCCGGGGGGATGAATTAGCACTTATGATGGTTCGGGAGAGATAAGGGGTTACCTTGAGGTTACCTTACCTTGAGGTGCTTCCGGGGCTTAGCGTCCCCGCGGCCCGGTCGTCGACCAGGCCTCCTGATGGGGTGCTTCCAATGTTGTTTCCCAGCCCTTATTTATCCCCCCCCCCCACCCCCACCCCCACCCCTTCCACCCCCACCCCCACCCCTTCCACTCCCACCCCCACCCTTACCCCCACCCTTACCCCCACCCCTTCCACTCCCACCCTCCCTCACCCTAACCCAAGCTACAGATTACAAGCTTGATCAAGGACGCTGTTCTGGAAACGTCTTCCACGATACTGTTCTGGAAACGTCTTCCAGGACGGTGTTCTGGAAACGTCTTCCAGGGCAGTGTTCTGGAAACGTCTTCCACGATACTGTTCTGGAAACGTCTTCCAGGACGGTGTTCTGGAAACATCTTCCAGGACGGTGTTCTGGAAACGTCTTCCAGGGCGGTGTTCTGGAAACATCTTCCAGGACGGTGTTCTGGAAACGTCTTCCAGGGCGGTGTTCTGGAAACATCTTCCAGGACGGCGTTCTGGAAACTTCCTCCAGGACGGTGTTCTGGAAACGTCTTCCAGGGCGGTGTTCTGGAAACATCTTCCAGGACGGTGTTCTGAGAACAAGCTCATTAGGCAACATTCCAGCACCGTATTTCCTCATTAACACCTAGAGAGCTTAGACTCGTGTTGTATTCCATGCATCTGGTCTGGAACCCGGCGCTGGAACACGTGTTTCTCTTGTTGTAAATCGCTTATACTTGTTTTGTTTACACGTGTGAGTACTGGAACAGACGCATTGTAACTCTTGATTAGAAGGCTGAGAGGTTCCTCCTCTTCCATCACTCTTGGTAAGCCTGTTTTTCTCCCCTGGAACACGAACCAGCCAATCGGTTTTACAACCAATCGCGCAATTACTGCTGGGTGAACAGAGGCGAGTTATATAGACGTTCTTCAATCTTAATGTTTGGGAGAAAAAATTCAGCAGTTTTTACAAAATCTTTATTGACAAAATAAACACCATTTCGCTGAATTGCAGGAATTGAATTAGGTCTTATTTCAATGAGGATTTTGCTCTTATTCACTGCCACACAGTGAAGATACTGCTCTTATTCACTGCCACACAGTGAAGATACTGCTCTTATTCACTGCTAAACAGTGAAGATGCTGCTGTTATTCACTGCTAAATAGTGAAGATACTGCTATTATTCACTGCCAAACAGTGAAGATACTGCTCTTATTCACTGCTAAACAGTGAAGATGCTGCTATTATTCACTGCTAAACAGTGAAGATACTGCTCTTATTCACTGCCAA